GTGATGCCTTTATTTTATATACCGTTTATACCAGATTTTGCTTTTATGAAAGCAGCTTTACAGTGTTAAACATGAAAAAAACACTTTCAGGTTCACTTTCGATTAAAATAACTTCAATTTTTATAATACATCATGTTTTTACTCGTGGACATCTGATCTCGATAAACTGAACAGAAGAAATGAATCAGAGTTTTCTGCATTAAAGAAGGTGGAGCTCCAGACCTCAAATGTTCACACATTAGCAATGACTCAACTGAAAAGTTTGATTAGTTAGGTGTATATTTTTGTATTATCATGCCTAAAATTATATTATTTATCTGACTGATGTGTTATCTGATTAAAACTATCATTTTATTTGAAATGTGTTACTAAATTTAGCAGCAGGCCTACGGAATGAATTATGCTTTCGTGGTTTTTTTTTCATATTTCTACAATTCAACTTTTCATTGTCAGTTCAACATTAGTAGTGACACTACTGGCCAACACTGCTGAAAGTCTCCAATAATCACATATGATCTCTGACACACACAACTCAGGTGTGATGAATAAGAACAGGAAATATTAGTTTGGAATCGTTTCTTGGAATTGATAGAATCGAACCTGGAATCAAGATGATTCAAAAATTTCTAGAAGCAAGGTAAGTTGAGGATGTGATAGTTGATCCTACTTGTTACAAAACAAAAAATATAATAATTGCCATTAACAGTTATTTAATTTCCATTAAAATACTGATATAGCTTGGATACTCCTTACCAGTCAATGCAATGAATATCAAAGGATCAATCGAACCAAGCGTGAAAGCACCCTTAAATTATCCATAACCACAATATATGCATATATGGTATTGTTTAGTGTATGTATATATGGTATTGTGTATATAGTTTTTGTTCCTTAATTTATGTTCCTCGCTGACACTTAAACAAGAACTTCATATTAACACAGTTCTTCCCTGATTTAGCAGCTTGTAAAACCAGAAACCATAAGGTGACTCAGTCAAGTCAAAACTGTTTGGTTCGAGACTTGTTGGAGTGTGAGTCAATTTGTTTGTAACCAGCTGTTTTGTTTTGTGGGCTGAATGCCATTTTAATGCAACTGTAACCCACCTCAATATCAGCATGTGTGAACCTCCTCCACAAAACAAACAAGTTCTGCCTCCAGCGAGAAAGTTGCACTATCTACCTAAAACCCAAATTTCAGAAAAAGACCATAAACTAATTCATAAGGAAGCTAGGTCTGACTAAAAGACTAGTTTCACCTACAGATGTAAACTTGTTTTAGTGCAGCCTCTGATATTCAAATGATGTTGTTCACGGCCTTGATTTAGACCTTTTGTTTTAACAGAAAAACAGTGAGTAAGAATTCTGTACAGAATTTTGCTTAGTTTCATCTTATAATGGAAATATGACAACAGAAACTGACTCATAACTTGAAATATTCTGTCTATCTTAGCTATAGATTATCTTTGATCAACGTTAGGGTCTTTCCCCACATTAAAGTAAAGACTCCTGGTTTTTATGAAAATTCACACAGTTTTTGAGTTTTAGACATTCAACTTTATGTCAAGCTACTATGGGAATTCAAAGAAAACATAGCAATGCCTGCATGTCAAACGCTTGTCAGATTTTGTGTTGCGGTCGATTAAACTGCCAAAATACATAAAGGTACACTTTCCTTCAGTGGAAATATTGAGTATTACCTTTTAAGGTACACAAAACGTTCCCAATCTCTTGCCTCAGACACTCAGACTCAATTTCCGCTGCATCGCTTTATTTTTGTATGCAAATATTGCATAAGAATTTGGGGCTTTTGTGATGTTAGTCATCATAAATGGTTAAAATAAAGGGGGAAAAGAGTTAAACAGAGAAAATTGCTCTTGTGTGTTTGATCTTGCAAAAAAACTGACTTTGATGAAAGCAAACTTGCAAAAACAAGAAAAAATATGATAAAGCTCTATTTATGCAATGCCCAAGAGTATGACTTACTAACAGTTGACAGGAAATACTTTAGTTATACTGCAGTCAGTCATGATGCTCTAAAATTATTTTAGTAAAAAACAATTATTATGCATGTAGCCTTTATGATGTATAGCCTATATATATATATATATATATATATATATATATACGTGTGTGTGTTTGTAAAACAGGTTCCAAAGGATCATCTTTCCAAACGTCTTGTAATATAATATCTAGTGTCACCGAATGTGAAACATTGCCAGTATTTTCTTGTGTTTTACACAATTAGCCACAGATAACACTGATCTGTATCACCTCTGAACACATCCACACCAAAGTCAACATGAAACAAACAACATTCACAAGCCTTTCTGTAAAGTGGCATGTTTTCAAGTGAATATTCACAGTGTAGAGAAAAAATAAATGTATCTATCAGGAATTGATTGGATGGAGAAAAAAGTCTTTATGTGTTAAAACCAGCCGCTGACATCAACCGAAAAGGAAAAGGAGCATTTATTAAACATATAAATATAGGGTTGATTTAAATTTCATGTTGATTTTAACCTTTTTCAGGCCCACACAGAATCTGCAGAGAAAGTTCTGCGAATTTCCACAGAATTGTAACACCAGTCATTCAGAATTCTACATATCCACCACCTTTTGAATGTTTTTTTAATGAAATATTTCAGCTAATTTGATTATGTTTACAGCTGCCAAAAACATGTTGCACTCACTTTAGCATGTTTAACCCTATAAAGCCTACTATATCATATTTAATATGCAAATAAAGCCTCTAAATGATCAACAACATGATCAAAACTTTGCTGAGAGTTTGCTGTTGCATAAAATCTACTACATTCCTTCTGTAAAAGGCCTTTTAATATAATTGTACAATTTTCTTTTTGCTGTGAAATCTTTAGTGATTTTTATAAAGTAAACATAAGAATAACTTTGATATTGTTAGTAATATTTCGAGATGAACATTTACTGGACTGAAGCAACTTAGCTTTACTTGATTATCCAGACATCATTTTCTTTTTAGAAAAATCAGTGAGCATCAAATATGATCATCAGGCTTTTGAGGAACGTTTATTTGTTCATCTCTCAATCATCATTGTATTGCATTGCATTATAAGTTTTGATGATCAAAGTAAGCATTTAAATATCATCTTACCAAGTCATATTATTGGAGATATAGAGTGACCACTGATATTTAAATAATTGAAATTTAAATCTCAGCTATACTGTTATAAAGATCCCATTGATTTACATTACAATCAGAATTTCATACTTTTTGTCAATATACTGTAAATATCAGCATCTGCACTAAATTGCTTTTTTTTTGGGGGGCTTGAGTTTGAGTCTCTTAATAAAATTGAGCTGTTTTTTTTTTTTCCATATTATATCATACTATATGAGCCATAAAAGCTTGATGTATCAAATATGATATTCAACAAAAAACACATAGTCTAACTTGTTATATATTTTGTTAAAGGTTCAATAAACTGTTCAGTCTAAAAAAAAACCTATTAAAAAACGGACTATTATTTAATATATCAGGCTTAAATTCATTCACTGTTTCTGCATATTCCATCTGGCCCCAATCACTGATCCTCACACTTTCTTTTTTCTGGATGGATTTTCATCATCAGCCACAGAAAACACATGATCTGTGAACTCATTCATTGGAAGATGACATGTTTTATTGATGTCATGATATCGATTTCACCTCTAGACCCCCCACCCACACTCACGCATAAACCCACGCACACATTGTGCTTTCCAGGTTGAGGTAGATCATTAAGATCTAGACATGACTGGCAGAGGAAAGTTTTGAATCATGTAATTTTCACCTTGTGCACAAATTGTCTTCCATGATCTTCGTGAAGGGAGGAATCCCCAGCGTGAACCTGTCCTGTCTGGGGGTCAACTAGGGCCTTCCCCCTCTGGGAATGACAGCCGCCAACATCTGCCCACCACTTCCTGTTTAGCGCGGCCTACGATTGGCCGGCGGTGGGGCTCAATCACATGCCCATTGTGATCTCATTTCCTGTTCTGTCGTGCTGTTGTGATACTGTGGAGCTTAAGCCACAACATGTGTTTTTTAATATCATTGAGATGCTATTATTAGTTTATATTAAAATTACGAATCAGTTTTTAATTGAATGTTTTAATTTTAAAAATTTTGTAATTTTGTTGTGTTTTTGTCATTTGTATTAATTTTTCTAGTAGTTTTTTATTAATATATTGAATAGGTTTTTATTTGTATTATTAAAAAATTTTCTAAATTTTAGTTGTAGTCATTATGTTATCATTTTTAGTAGTTTTTTTTAAGTGTCTATATATTTTTTATTTCCGTTTTACTTAGTTATTTTAGTAAATTTTTAGTACATACATTTAGTACTAAATGAAAAGAAAAATAATGCTTTAGCAACTACCTGAAACAAAAAAAAAAATTTTTTCCAAAGGTATTTATTTCAGTTTTGGTTTTATTTAAGTTCAATGAAATCAAAATGAAAAACAATGTTGTCTTGGCAACGAACTAAAGTTAAAGTTTTTATCTTTTATTTCAATGTTATTTTTTTGATGGTTTTAGTTTTTTCTATTATAACCCTGGGCACAAGCTGGTTTAACATCCAAACACAGGTGCGCTTGTACTTACTGAAGGCCATATATCAGATGTCATTTAATGCCCTGCAGGTTTTGGGTGCAATTCATTCATTTCCAGGTCGAGCTATTCTTATCTCACAAAAAGAAAAGTACATTAAACTTCCTGTTTTTGTCGATAATCAATATGGTTTGTGTGGGAAGCCACAAAGAAAAAAGCACCTTTTCATATCCACTTGTGCTTGATGATGCTGCACCTAAGTCACACACACACACATGTTTCTGGTGCTGATTCAGAATGAGAAGAGGAACTGACAGCGTTTTGTAGTTTCCTGTCAAGTGTGCAGAAAGTCTGGGTCAGGTTCACATACACACACAGAAACACACACTGCATACACCCCCACGCACGCGCCTCTCGATTACATCTTCGTCAACTGACAGTTGTGACGAATGGCCAGTGGAAAAGAAAAACTAATTAGTCATTGTAAAAATTGAGTTTTCCAATCTCCACAAAGAAGCGGTTTTCCAGCGTCCTCAAGGATTCGTATATAAGGTGATTGTGTACCTGTCGACAGTATGACGGACATCAATCCAAGTAGCTTTAGAGAAGGACCAGAAGAAACTTTGCAGCTTCAACATGAAGGCGTCTGTGTGTTTTGTGTTTGCAGTGGTTTGTTGGTTCGCAGCGCAAGCAGAGGAGTCGCCAAAGATCCTCACGCTCAGTAAAGTTATGAATGAACTCAACAAGATCAACCAGGGAATGGTAAGCTGACTTCTAAAATCTACGGATGGCACATTATTTTTACACATTTTAAGTGAAATTGACCAGTTTTTAATCTGCTTTTTCTTTTGTTTTTAAAAAATAAAGAACAAAAGGACAACTTTGAACTCACCCACCATCAATGATTTAGAGGTAAGAAACGATTTTCTTCTCTTCTTCTCCATTACATTCAGTATTCTATCTGGATGCCCTCGGCGGTCTAATATGACCACATCATTAGGCTTGTTTCACAGCGGTTTTTGCATGACTCGGCCTTCCGTAATATAAACACGTTTCTGTCACCTTATACAGAACAAGTTTCAGTTCAACACAACTGATTTTCAAACAAACGTGATTTGCAAAAAAAACGTGGGTTGATTCCATCCAAATTATCTACGTTTCACTGAATCCATCAATCAGTACAGAAATAACGTACATTTTTAGTCATGCTTTTCTTGGCAAACACCCTCTCATTTTGTAATTGCTCCCTTTTTTAGATTAAAAGTCGGTCAGGAGAAAGTACGCTTCATTTAGGAGAAATATGATGAGTAAAATGACAACAGCCGAACGGGGAGTGAGAGTAGAGCTGCTAAAACAGATTTGGCCTTTTTCACAGTTGGAATCTTTTCTTCGTATTATTATTATTATTATTATTATATCTGCATTTGTTGCATAATGGCTTAGTGACAGAAAAAGGCCGTTTCTGTGCACACTCTCGTCTCAAGTTCGGAAAACATTTTGGGTTTTTCTGCGTGGAAAGAGAGTTTCCTCATAGTTTCTGTGAAAACTGCTTGAGCAGAAGGGAAACTTAGAGTCAAGATGTATAGATTTCTGCATACAATACAGACAGGAAGAGACAGAGCTCGTGGCTGGGGAAGCAAGAGGCTTTCATGCAGGGTTTGCACACACACACAAAAACAATCCAATCTGACTACGAAACTCGTTTAGATATTATGGCTATCAGGGAACCTTCTCAAAATGTTGTTCTGTTAAAGTTATGACCAAGCGTTCTTCCAGTGACGTTAACAGAATGCTTGGTCAAAGTTGGTTTCAGGACGTTCATAGAACATAAAAAAGCAAAAACTATCAAATGGAACGATGAAAAATGTTTTTAAAAAACTGGAATGTTCAGAAATAATGTTTTCTTAACATCAGCAAAACATTTTTAGAACATATTTTTGTTCGCTGGGTTTATGTTAAATTGTTGGTTTTGTTTCTTTACACAGGACTGCTGCGTTAAATCTGCTCTGGACTGTTTTCGGGCCAAAGTGTTTTACCTGTCAGTCACTGATGCCAAACTAAAGCGCTCACAGAAGATCATCTCACATGAGCTTCGCAAATCAGTCATTGTGAGTGTGTGTTTATGATGTTTCTGGACATAGTGGATTGCATGTCAATGCATTATAAATACACATACACCTCAGAAATGAGAAATGCTCACTTATTTATTTATTTTAACAGCTGGACAGTGTGTCCAATTGCAAGCCTGAAGAGATACAGGTGAGAAACATAAAGTAACAAAAATAAATGTTGGAAATGTATTTTGTATAAGTTGTAGTTATTTCATGTTATTACCTGTTTATTAAATTAGAATTAGAACCGTTTATTAAATTAACAGTTCTGACCTGTGCAATGTTCTGTTTCAGAAAGCTCAGTGCAAATCATGTGACTCGTACAAGAAGGTTGACAGCCAAACATTTGTGCAGAATTTTCAAACTCTTCTGCAGAAGGTTAGTTCAAAACGATCCTGAAATTTCCCTCAATTTCTTTGCGTTCATATATATATATATATATAGAGAGAGAGTTTTTGTTTACATAATAGTATGCTGTTTATATTTATTATGTATATATAAATACACACACATGCATGTATACATTTTAGAAAAATGTTGTTTATATATTAAATATATTTAATTTTAATATAAATTGTATGAATATAAACATAAACATGTAAATATTTTCAAAATATATACTGTATGTGTGTGTATTTATATATACATAATAAATATACACAGAACACACACATATATTATGCAAACAAAAACTTTTATTTTGTATGCGATTAATTTATTTGACAGCCCTATATATATATATATATATATATATATATATATATATATATATATATAGGGCTGTCAAATCAATTAATCGCATCCAAAATAAAAGTTTGTGTTTACATATTGTATATACTTTGTATATTTATATGTATATATTTATATTTATAGATAATATAAATCATATATAATTATTAAATACATGTAAATATTTCTTAAATATATACGTGTGTGTTTATATATACATATAAATATACACAGTAGCCTACACACACATATATTATGTAAACAAACTTTTATTGTAGATGCGATTAATCGATTTGACAGCCCTAAATATTCATTCATCCATTAGATTTTGGAGTGAAACTGAAAGACGTGTACAAGTGGTGCTTTTCTTTAACTCTTCATTGTAATGGGGAAAAAAAGATCCCTCTGAAAGTATAAATAGAGTAGAGATCCAAAATAAAAGTTTGTGTTTACATATTGTATATACTTTGTATATTTATATGTATATATTTATATTTATAGATAATATAAATCATATATAATTATTAAATACATGTAAATATTTCTTAAATATATACGTGTGTTTATATATACATATAAATATACACAGTAGCCTACACACACATATATTATGTAAACAAACTTTTATTGTAGATGCGATTCATCGATTTGACAGCCCTAAATATTCATTCATCCATTAGATTTTGGAGTGAAACTGAAAGACGTGTACAAGTGGTGCTTTTCTTTAACTCTTCATTGTAATGGGGAAAAAAAGATCCCTCTGAAAGTATAAATAGAGTAGAGATAACAAGCCCTGTGTTAACGACCTACTTTTCTCTTTCTAGATCTATGCCAGTGAAGCGTAGAGATGAAAGAGTGAAGAGACTGTGTATATGACACTACCTGACCAACCCACAGCAGAGAAGAGGCTCACACGCTCCGCTGCTCCTGCTGTTCTATTTATTGATTATTTATTGAACGTTTTCTTGTATGTTTTAACTAGAGGATCTGTTAAAGGATTGTTCATGACTCTGACATGTTTTCAGGAACAGGGCAACAACTTCTTTAAGAAATGAGATATCCGTTATTAATTATTAACATGTATTCGTTTTGTTATACCGCCACCTTGTGGTGAGATCCCAGCACTGCCGCCTTCATAACAGCCCCGTTCCTGGAAAGAAGAGTGGTTTCCCTGATGGAGATTAAGCCTTATGCAACAACACAAGGCTTTCGAGATTTTTCACTTTAAGTATGCTAGGAATTTTATTCTTAATCTCCGTCATGAAAACCACTCATTTAGACGATGTTACCAATGTATCTTTAAAAAAAGCAGATACACACTTATTATATGTCTCACAATGAGATGCATATCTATATATATATTTGATGATATTTATTTGACATTAAAATATTTCTTTATGTTTACATCATGGCTGTGATGGTTATTTGAGGTGGACATTGAATTCTCTGCGTATTTCGAATGTGATGTGACAGAAACATCATGAATGGTGCAAGGTGTTTTTTCTCACCTGTTAAAGCTAAACCTGATGACCTGGATCAGTTCCAGCAAACAGTTCTTGTTGTTTTTGTGTGGACATACACTACCAGTTAAAGTTTGCAAACAAGCATTATCAAAACAGAAGTCTTTATCAAAACGTTTCTGAGATCATAAGAGCCGTTGATAGTCTTTCACATTTGATTTGATTCAGTACAAACTGCCCTGGTCAAGGAAGTTTTAAACATCACAGAGTTATTATTACTTTCACATTGTTTCTTTAATTTCAGGATATATAAATACAACTTTCGAATAAAGTTTTGTTTGTGTAGCAGGTGTATCAAGAAAATGCAAAGTACAAGATTTTATATATAGGAAAACATTAATTTGTTTGTTTGTTTATTTAACTGGAAAATAAAATAACCATATTTAATTGTATTTAGATCAAATTAACTGGAAAGTGAAGTAACCGTCAAAAATTGAAATCTTAAATTTGAATTTAAAACATTTCTGTACTCCTTAGAAAATTATTAGTAATTATTAATCATTATATTATTGCGGTTTAAACAATTATTAATATTTTAGACTTGAGCCATTGCCTTAAGCATCTAATTAGTTTTAAATACATATTGCATAAGGAACATTTCAACTGTGATTTTTTTTAAAAAGTGTCAAAACAACAATAATAAATAGAAAAAAACTCAAATAGAAGGTCCTGTGTCACTTTAATTTCTGAAAGAAAAAAAACCCATCAAAAATTAAAATGTAAACATTTTGGTACTCTTACAAAAGGTAATTATTAATTACGGTATTATATTAATGTTTAATTATTCTTTAATAATAATCATTCATATTTTAGGTCTGAGCCATTGCCTTATAAGAACATCTAATTAGTTTAAATACATATTGCATAAGGAACATTTCAACTGTGATTTCAAACACACACACACACACACACACGTTTACTTAGCTATCTAAATGGGGACATTACATAGACTTCTATTGTTTTTATATACAGATAGTTATACACTTTTTAACCTAAACCCACCCCTACCCCTCACAGAAAACTTTCCGCATTTTTACAATTTCAAAAAAACTTTGTTTACCTTATTTTTATACCAGTTTTACAAATGAGGACATCCCCAAATGGAGTTTTTGGCGATTTTGTCAGGTTTTGCTCACTTTTGGGTACAAATCTGTCCCCAAAATATGGTTAAGTACACACACACACACACATATATATATATATATATATATAACTTTGCATATACTAGTGTGATTTTACATTTCCTTCCATATAATGTTATACCTGTTACAATCTGCCAAGTGACATTTAGTGAAATGCACATGGACTTTTCACTTTTAAGTCAACTGATATCGATTTATACTGTATTCTAAATACATTTCTGTCAATCCTTTCTTTAAAAAACACGTAATGAGGTTACAGCATGTTGAACTCTTGTTCGTCACTAGTTTATACTAGTTTAGTATAAATATATTTCTTTACATACTATATCCCTACGTTGAACTTTAACTCGTTTAGCTTACTTTAACATACGAAAATTATTTACTTACATAATGACAATTTAACCACAAAGAACAACTTTGGAACCCACAGGCTCATAGTTCTCTGCTATTTTTAGTTTTTACATTAAGATGGAAAAATAATAAGATCCGAGGTTTCAGTTTTTTTTACTTATTGTTTTTATAAATACTGCATATTCGAACTTCATTCTGATTTGACATACTGCTTTTGCGTAGGATACTACACCGTAAAAATGCAAATGCATATGCTGACAGTTTATGTGAAAGAGCGCATGGCAGACGTGAGAAGATGCTGTCACCTGGTGCTTAGACAAGGTATTTCCATTTTGACCGCTGTGATTGTACATTGACTCATGATGATGACATTTGTCAAATTGTGAGCAAAAGCTAAAAAAAAATGTTAGAACACTAAGGGGAACGATAGTAAACTCTGACATTTCTAAACATTTAAGCACCTGAACTACAAAACTACCCAGTGGGAATATAACCAGCCTATTTAGAAAATGCCAAAACTTTAATCACAGCAGCTGTTAAAACCTAGGAAGTAAATCACACTTTTCCACATGATTACTCCTGGACAAATGTACAGCACTGCTAATCAAATAATCAAAAAGTACTTAAGACCCTTTCCAAACATCAAAGAATCTGCTGAATATCCACCTTATTTTTCCCGTAAGAACGGCCGAGGCCATTTGTAATTTTAATGTCTGGCTTCCTGTCATTCGCTTCCAGCTATTTTTAGCTGTACAAAACAGCTCATTTTGCTGCTTGATATTGCAACTGTAGTTTCTTACCATATTATTTTAATATATTGTCTTAATTATAAACACACTGGTTTGTAGCACAAACAGTTCTGCCATTTACTGCACTTTGTTATTTGTCTCGTTATACAGCGGCAAATGAATGGGAAGTCTCGTACATTCACAGAAAACAGCTTACTTCGCATCGAAAAATAAGGTAAGGTCCATGTGCATATGGATGTGTCGTGTTAATGGCCTCTTCTGGGATCCTTTTTTCATATTTAGAGTTACCTGGATGTTAATACTGCCAATCTGACACTGGACTTTCAAATAACGGAGTGGAAAATAAATGGATGACAACTGCATTGACAGGGCTGCCAAAAGTTTCTATTTACAATGTGTTTTTGTAGCGTTGAGCAATGTAGCCAAACACAGACAGATCTGTTGATACTTGAACACCTTCGATTGGCCATTCCGTTCAAATAAATGCCGGATTTTGTTCCGCACCCTCGCGAAACGCAAATCCTCTCACTGTAACACAACGTAAATAAGAGGTTCCCTTTCATCATCTCGTGTTCGAGATCCACCTATGGTAAGGGCATCTGTACCTGACCTCTGCAGAAGCATCCAATTGCACCAAGTCTGGCTTGCTAGACAGGAGCGTGTGCCCAATGGCAGGTAAGGGACTTCCCGCTTCACAGAGCGCATAAAGTCCCTGCACGCGCTACCTTTCCTCAGTTGACATTCGCTTTTTGCGATCTCTGTGCTTATACACAGCTCGGTTGGATTTACACTGTTCACTTTCGTGTCTTCAAGAGGACATATCGACAGATCAGCCTCCAACAGACATGACAGTTGTTATTCAGCCAGTAGGTCAGTTGTGTTGCATCCTGAGCCGCTCACGCTCTCTCGTCTTTAGGCTGCTCGCCTATTGTCATTTTCTCGCCTGCTCCCCTTTCCACGGTGGCCCGCCACAGATTTTTCTCGGTTTTTTGCCAGTATGTCGCTCTTGAAAGCGGCTGCTTATCCTGGGGATAGTTTATCACGTGTGGTGCGCTTATCGCCTCTAAGGAGTGCCACCAACCAGGAGGATGACGGGAAGCTGCTGGGACCCCCTTCCAGCCCGAGGAAACAACTCTTCCCCGTCCTCCCAGCGTGCGCAAAGCAGATGAGGCATTACTGGAGCGATCCACTTAACCCCAAACACGGTCTTGCCGGCCTCGAGGTTAAGGATATGGCGGTGCTCGGCTTGGGTGAACGCCCCGTTATCGAGCCTTCGATTGCGAGGCATCTTAGCCCTGTCCAGGGCGGGGCTGCTTGCCCCTCCAAAGCCGGTATTGCCGAACAAAATGGATCATTTTACTGCCTCAGTTCACCAGGCCACATATAAATCCTCGGCCTTGTCTGTCAGGGCGCTTAACGTTTCCTCTCTACTCTCCGCGTACTAGGCAGAGCTTTTGGACGACTTAGGTCAACAACTCGACAAGGGACCGCCTTCGCCTTGTCTGTGGAAAGAGATTCTCATGGTTAACGACCTCATACTCCGGAAGGCTCATCAGGCCATCCAAGCCTGCGGGCATTCTATGGCGCTTTCTGTGGTGGGAGAGCGCCTTTGCCTTAATCTGTTGGGGCTTCCTGACAGTGAAACGAGGCGCATTGCGGGCGCCCCCAAGGAGCCTGGCCAAGCTCTCTTTGGCCCCGCCGTCGCGTTGATGCAGCAACGATGTGACGACAAAAAGAAGGAGGACGAGGCTTTCAAATTGTGCCTATCCAGGAAGGCAGCTCCACGCCAGGTGCCTCCTGTGCGTTTGCCTAACCCCCCTGCCACGGGACGACATTTCCAGCAGGGCAAGGATAGGCCCCGCAGCAGACCACCTCCACGGCAGAGTAATCCACCCTCTGCAAAGCCCTGGGGTAGATCGGTTCCCGCCGCGACTGGGAAACCCTCTAAATTTATGAATTTCCTCTCGCAGTTCAGGGAAGGAGCGAGGGTACAGTATTGCACGTGTCTCAGATTACAGGGTTTAATGGCTTCGGCTGTCCATGTCCTGCCTCTAGGCCTTCTGAGAATGAGGGCCGCTCTGTCACAGTGACGCGCGCGTGTATGGCAGCGCTGCGGCACTGGAGGAAAGTG